AGTGGGAGGTCTCTAGCCTGTGAAGCACAAGAAACTTGAAAAAACCTCATCTAATTTTTTGTTTTTATTCTGATGCTCATCTCTCTCACACAAGTCTTCAGTGCAAATTCTCACTTCTTTTTAAATGAAAACCATTTATTTTGAGACATCTAAATCTGAGGGATAGGGAATGAGAGAGGGGCGAAAGGCTGCAGTTCTGTTTGAGCAGAGCTCTGTGCCAGGTGTGGCAGCTGGGCAGTGCAGGTTTCCTTCTGTCACTGCTTCAGCCTCCTCCATTCACCAGTGAGCCAAGCACAAAACACTTGGTGCCAGGCTCACATTCAAGGTTGCAAATACCAAAAGATCTTGATGTGCATATCCTGCTGACACTGCTGCCATATCATCACAACACAGGGTCATGCCCTGTGCACTCCGTGTCTTAAACTGCCAGAAATGTTTGAGATCATTTTTATACATACACATTTCCCTGTACCTTATTATTTCTGAGCACACAAGGTAGGTAACAGTTACTTAACAACAGTCAGATAATAGATGATTTGGAAGGACTATCAGTTTAAAATGCTTATGGTGCATGAAGGCCTTGAGCAATTTGTCCCAGGAATGGGAAATCAGGCAGAGCGTGATACCAAAATGTATTCTACTGGAAAGATAAGACAGTTTTGTGCCAACTGCCTACTTCAGAATTTCAGTAACATTAATTTATAGGGCATGTGGTACTATTTTGTGACAATAATAACTGCTCTTACAGAATACATCTGGAGAGATTGAAGAGCCTAAGTGATGTTTTCAGGATGTGAGTGTGTATATATTATGAGTTTGGGTTTTATTTTATGAGGTGAATCCTGTGTTTGTCTCATGTCCATCTTCTGTTACAAGCTCGTATCATTACTTTCACTGAAGTCTGAGTATATAGAGGGATTATTAACAGCCATCAGTAACTGAAAAATGTCACAGGAAAAAGAGAAAACTGACACAGTATATGTGTGCTTCTGTAAATATATTAAAAGTGAGAAAATAAGATGGGAAACTAGAATGACAGGTATTGAATAAGGATAAACATATGCTTGCTAGAAACTAGGTAATACTAAGGTTCATTAAAAAAGAGAGAAGACTGTGCAAGCAGAGAAATAAAATTGAATAATAAATACAAAGTCAAATAAAATGAATAAAAAAATTAATAAAATATTATTATATAAAATAATTAATATATATAATATATATTATATATATAATATATATAATATATAATATATATAATATATATAATATATAATAGATAATAGATATTATATATTATTATTATATAAAATAATAAAATAAAATAAAATTTTTTTGGCCTTCAAAGACCAAAAACTTTCAGGTGTACTAGAAAGAAAAGAAATAGTAAGATATGAATAGGATAAGCACCTACTCACGATTGCTATTAGAATACTTTTAAGTCACGAGGAGTTGCTTTTACGAAGAGTTAAATTCATTGACATGTGAAAATCATTATGGAATTGCAGAGAGAAAAGTAACTGAGAAAGTAATACAGTAAATGTGCTACAACCAGGGGAAAATGCATAGTACTAAGTGCTCTAATGAAGACATGTTATTTTGTGCTATATTGCTGCATTCCCAAACTTCCACTGTAATCATCAAGCATCTGCAGAGAATTTTTAGGCCTACACACAAAACAGGTTGTATAAGGAAACAATCTCTGGCCTCAAAAGTAATTGCTGGCATACCTGAGCCACCTTCTTTGCATGCTAAGATCATGTAGGAAAGGAAAGCAGATGTTCAGTACTAGCTGGCCTAAATTGTGCATAATTTACTGTCATTAGTATGTCCAAGAACTGTACAGCAGTCACATACTGTATTGCCATGATCACAGATGGAGTTTAGGATCATGGATGGATCCTTTAGGATCATGCGCTGGTGAGTGACAAGGGCATATTGGCTCCAGAATTATCTCCTATTCAGTTTATCTTGGAATATTTACCAGTTTATCCCCATAACATAGCTAAAGGAACTGTTGCACTGGAACTAATGGAACTGTGCAGTGCGAGCTACAGAAGAATGCAGCAATGAATGCCTGCAGCACAGTGTAAAATCCCTGCTGCTTCTGGTGCCTGAAACAACTTGGTTTGAGTACCTGTGCCATCTCTGCAGTAGACTGCAAACAGCCTGCTGGAAAAGAAGGAGGAAGCAGGAAAAAAAACCCACTAGGAAGGGTTGGTCAGAAGTGTGAATAAAGCCACATGAATTTGAGTCTGTGTTCAAGGACCAGGATCTTCAGTCTTGGATGCTTTAATCGTCAGCTCCAGATGCAGCTCACCCCCACTGCAGGAAGCGCATAGTTCACAAAACTCGGTGTCAGCCCAGTAATCTCACAATTCACACATCTTAGAATGTCCTACAGAACCAGATGGGAAAGGAAACTTGTACTGCCCATGACCTCTGCTCGGTGATGTCCAGGTTCACAGTCACACATTTACACTCTATGAACATTTGGATGCTCTAAAGCAAGCAGTGGAGCATATCACAAAATACTTTTTAGTGAGTTACTACCCATGACCTTTCGTATTTTGAGATGGTAACAATTTCTAAAGGAAAATCATCTGATCCCACCATTTCAGTTCCATTAGCAGCTTTATCCAGATTTGTAGCTTTTGTTGTTTTAATTTTTTTAATTAAAAGAATGTGTAAGGATGAGTTTACTGGGTTAAAATGGCTGAACTTTTACAAAAGGCAAACGGGGAACAAAAGTTTTAAAAGGCATCCATCCAGCAGAACTTTGCCCTGGAATAGGGCAGTCTGTACATCTAAGGATATTCCTTGGGATCTGTTTTGACCCATAGGTTTCCTCAGCTTGGCAGAATTGCTTTGCAGAGGTAGCCAGGCAATATTTAAAGGCACTAAATGCATCAGGTGTGATTTGATATAAAAGGAACAGCAGTGAGAATAGGGAAGGAGGGATAGACTGCTCTTCTGTTTGTTTTACATGATGCTGCTTGATACTACAGAGAGTTCACCTAAACACGGCTATGCCATTGTTCATTGAGAAGATTTTCATTTGCCTTTGGAGGCAGGTGAACTTGGAGGATGTAACATAGTGATTTCTTCAGGGGATTTTCTGGCAAGAACTAGATCAGAGCAAATAACAGTAGCTATTTACTCACCTCTGAGCACCAACATTTTGCATTGCTACACTAAGGAAAACATTTCCAATAGATGTATCTGTCCATTGCACTTTTAGTCAGTGTGGAGCAGAGCTATTTTCTGTCACTCTGGAAATGCATTTGGATTCCTAAGGAACTGTATTCACTTTTGTTCCCAATTTCCTAACATAAATTTAGGAACTACCAAAGTAGTAAGTACTACATCTCTGTGGATAATTTTGTCAGGAAAAAATGAAAGAAAACATTAGTCAGAGCATTCCTGTAACTGCTCAACTAATGACTTGATGAGCTGCAGCAGCAACTATTCAATATGCAGCTCTAGCTGTTAAATACTTCACCTAAAGCCGTTTTATGTTTCAGAAAACCTCAAGCTAGATGACAGTCTTAAGCAAAACTCAAAAAGAGAATGAAAAAATCTTTGCCTGGTCAAAGGTGGTAGCATTGGTGTTACACAATCTTCTCAATTTTTAATGGGGATTGACATTTGAGAAGATACATCACTAGCAGGAGGAAAGTGTGCTGATTTCCTTGTCTTCTCCCATCCTCAGAGCAAAAAAGTACAAGAGTTGCCAAGAATCTAATTTGCTCTTTCCTTCCTAGCTTTACAGAACTGAAATGCATTTAGCCAAGAGAGCCCCTGAAAATTTTCTATTAGTAGGGCAAAAAGAAAAGTATTATTATGAACTTGTCCACAAGTACAAAAGGCACAACAGTTCCCAATCTTTTAACCTGGAAATGAGAAATAACATCTAAAAAGTGGATTGAATCTTATAAAACCTGAACTACCATCAGTTGGAAATACTGCAGTTCTGATAAGTCAATTCAGAAAATATGTATAATGTGATTTGAATATGTAGGAGTTTAGTGAATAATCTCAGTGCATTGCTACTAGGAGTAAAAGACCTGAAATACAAATCAGTTTAAAAAACAAAAAAAAACAAACAAAAAAAAACACCCACAAAAAAACCCCCAGTAAGTTATCTCTCCAGCACAGCAAATGTGAAAACAATAATAAAGAAACGTTTCCCAGGGGAGATTCAGAGCACTCTCTGAGAAACAGAGTCCATCAATGCATCTGTGTAGGAAACTGGCAACTACATCTTCCCTCTGCTGTATGGATGTTACAACTGCCTTATTCCATTATTGTCAGGACTACAAAGGTAAAGTTTTTCCCAAATGTTTTTCCTTTGAGAGTCACAAAGCTTTATTTTGCTTCAAGAAATCAGAAAAAACCTGGGCACTTTGAAACTATGTTCTTACCAGACCTCTAGATATGCACAGATGGTAATGTAAATAGTCTCATTAGTTAAAATCAGCAGGAACAAAGCATCTCAGAGCTGACTGTGAGAAAAGCTGTTAAAAATGGGATCTGAAGTGATTTCTGAAGAGGAGGCAAATGCCTCTGCCATCTGCAGAAATACAGAAAAGAGGGAAATTTGAAATCCTCTCCCTTTACACACAGACACTCTGCAACTGCTTATCAGTATATATCAGATGCCTGGCTGAGAGACAGACTGTTTTCACAGTGGGAAGCAAAACCCTGAGTTGCTGTTACAGAATAAGTATTGAAAGATGGAGCACAGCTGAAGTCAAAGAGAGAGAGGAAATTTTGGTATAAAAGAAAGCAGAAGAATAAAAACAATGGAAACCTGAAGAAAAAAGACCAAAGACCAGGAGGAAAAGTGTGTTAGGAAGAGATCCTAAAGAAGCACAGAGGAGCACAATGCATGAGCTATTGAGATCTTTGCCTCTCATCACTATGATTGTTATCTGTGCATTTTTATTTTGGCAGAGAATCTGATCTCACCCTCTCACCCCTACACTTTTCTCTTGTCTCACCTGTCCACAGCGATGGCTGTCATGGAGTAGATGCTGGCGAAGACAGCTGTGATTGGGAAGAAGTTGTGGAAGCGGCAGTAAGCCTCTCCAAAGTACCACTCGCTGTGCAGCGCGTAGATGAAGTTGATGAGAGTATTGAAAGCAGCCATGGAGGCATCAGAGAAGGCCAGATTCACCAGGAAGTAATTTGTCACCGTCCTCATGCGCTTGTGAGCCAGGATAATCCAGATGACAATCAGATTCCCAAAAACGGCCACCACCACCACGCCACCGTAAGCCAGAGACCACAGGGCAATGCGCCAGGAAGGTTGCACGAACTGATTGGAGAAGTTGCCTGATGAGGAGGCTACAGGGGCAGAAGCATTTGCTGCTGGTGCTTCCAGAGCCTGTCCCCAGGGATCACCTGTTTCAACAAGGCTCACGTTCCACCTGCTGCTCGTGGTCATGTTCCACTTGGCGGTGGGGACCGAAGTCATCTTGGGTGTTTCTCTCCCCTCTTCCAGGAATGATGTAGCTCTCCCAAATCCCTATCCCAAGCCCCCCAAAGACCCACCAACAGATAAGAAGAGGGAAGGAAGAGAAGGGGAAGTAAGGCAGCACAGCAGGTGCTGGAAAGGAGAGCTCTGTTAGAAAAAATCTTTGGCTATGCTGTTCAGACTGTTAGAAATGCTCTAACAGACAAGTCAAGAGAGCTATCTCGGAGTAGAACAGCATCAGCATCCTGTTTCTCCTCTGTACAGCCTCTTGCTTTTGATTTTGCTCAAGGAGAAGGGGACTGGGAGCCAAGGCACATTTTATAGGCTTGTGAGTTCCCAGCGTCACGAAGGGAGTGGAGCGATAAGCTCCATCGGCTGGTAAGCTAACAGCTCCTTCCCTCTGCTCTCCCTCCCCTTGTATGTCATTCGTTGCCAGCAGCAGGCACTTTCAGGAGCTGTGGAAAGCATCACAGGGAAAATGAATTCTCATCTCGTTTACGTTGAGAGATTTGTTTTATATTGTCTTTCTTTAAGTTTCATTATTGTGCATCCTTTTTTAAATAGTCTATTTGCCCTGTGTTTGCAGTTGTAATCAGCTGGCTTAGTTGAAATTCCCAGGACTGAGGCTGCCTTTTTATTAAAGCTCTTTCCAGATGAATTTATTCCAGATCAATTCAGACCTCCTTTTTTTGCTGCTCTCTTTTTATTTAGTACACACTTTCCTTGAAACCATTCTGTAACTTACAGATTTAGAATAGTGACTCTTTCAGACAAACAAATACATTCTGCTGCTCTCTAATTTCACTTTTCATTCTGTAACATGTAATTGATATCAAGAAATATTTATAAGCTATTTGCATGTTCAGCAGTTACTGATTTTTAGTGAAACAGAATGCAACCCTAAACACAGGTGTCCCTAGTTATGGGTAAAATATTAGTAGTTTGTTTTCTTTGTGTCTTTGAAAAAAAAAAAAAGTTCTTTTCCCTGATTTGCATGTATTTCATGCTTAGTACTATTATTATTTTGAGCAACCAATATTTTGTTATGCAGTGATTTCTATAACGGTATAAAAGGGTAAATGAGGAAATTTAACACCCAATATTTTAAAATCCAAAATCAGTTTTCTTGTTAATATGTTAACAACAGCTGGCATTAGGAATGCATGTTTTATGCAAGGATTGATTGCAAGGGACTTCAGCTAACAAACCTTTGTTATTCAATAGGCTGCAGTCTTAAGGGAGAAAATGTGTTTTAGTGCCAATCTTTCATGTTTCAACAATTTAGAGCTGCTGCTTGTCATCAGCAGAGGTTTCAATTGTATCACAGCAGTGGGAGCTATTCAATGTCCCTATCAGCAATGACATATTCAGTACTTTTTTAAACAAAAGCTTCAAACCAAAATCAAATACTCCTGTGTGCCACTTCCTCCCTGATGTATTTACCCAGTGGAAGCAGTGCCTGCATTTTAATTGTCAGGTTTTCACTGCAGTTTTAATTTGAATGAATGTAATTGTGGCTGTTTCTGTATGAGCTTTTACCAACTTATCCCAGCCCAAGCAGCTGCCCCCATCAGGCTTAGAAGCTTTGCAGAAAACCACAGAAGCTCTGCTGTAAATCACCTGGTGCTACAGCCTGTCTAAAACCCACCCATGCACTGCAGATGCTTGTAACAGGAAAGTCACTGCAGTGAATCCCACAGTTCCATTTTGAATTCTAAATCTTCCAGCTGCCTCTTCTTTCTTCCTCTCCCTGGAGGCGAGCCTGAAGAAAGGCATGGTAGACAATCTCTATGAGTTTGAGAAATGAAAACATTCAATTGCTGGTTCCAAAGAGTGAGGAACAATGGACTGACTAGTTACAGCAGAGTTGGACGCTCAGCTCTTAATTCCAGCAGCTTCACTCAAGATTTTCCCATGGCTGTGAGCCAGAGAGTACAAACCCAGCCCTGTGCCCTGTACCATTCCACCTTTATGCCCAAACTAAGAACTCCAGACTTTATTCTTTTACTAAGCTGATGTGTTTTTCACATTTGTACACTAGTTGCACAAGTGCCCCACATTTTTCTGTTGCTTCCATCCATCTCTCCCAACCTCAGCTCTATTACTCCTTTCCCTTCATTTTAGCAGAGACAGGCGTCTTATTTCTAGCACACAGTACTGACAAGCGTGCAGTAGAGTGTAAACTTACAGGAACAGAATCCTGTAGGGCACTGTGGTAATTTCCTCTGTATGGGGAGATAAAGGATCTGTGTTTGCACCACTTGCTGTAGTTCATGGAATCCCATTCTGGTCATGTTTTAAATTCTGTCTCAGTTTTCTATGAAAAATGTGCAATATCCAGTAGTGCTGCAAACTAGGGACTGGATTTTGACTTTGAAAGCAGAAGTCTAATTTCTTGTTCTGGAATGAAGCTTGTTCTAGCTTTGCTATGAAAAATTGTTGGCCACTGCACTCCAAGTGTTCAGGAGAGATCATTCCCATGTCTTTCCCTAATCATCTATGGTCCCCCCAAGGGAATTTGTTCTCAATGCATTCCCAGTCACAATGTGAGAAGACAGTACAAGGTAACATCTCCTTATTCGAGCAGAACTATAGGCAAACTGAGTCCTTGAGACTTACTGTAAACACAAATCAGGAAGCTTTTTGTGTTTGTGAAATGTCAGCCAGGCCCCCAACACAGGAGTGTCAGCTTTGCAGTGTAGAAATCAAAGTCTCATTGATTCTGTCTTCCTCTTCAGAGGTATGCTGAAAAAATAAGTCTTCCCTGTAGGGAAATTTTTATATACTATGCTCCTCCCCATCCCTTCTCCCCCATAAATGAGAAGAAAAACTGTGAGGTTTTAGCATAAAAGGACATTGATCTGACCATTAGCATAAAAGGACAACCTAGATTTTTTAATTAGTCATTTGCTCAGTAAGATGGATGTGATCAGCCTGCAGCATGGATCTGAAACTGGCAGAAGAGGTGGCTGAATATCTGGACTTGTTTTGTTTTGAGAAGTAGAAAACTGAACAGCACAGGACAAATGTTGGGCAGCTGGATCAGTCTCCCGTGGGGAATGTTTATGACTCCTTTTGGAGATGAGTAAATATTTGCTAGAATAAATTCTCTGTGTTCTGGTTTTCATTCTTACTGAAACCACAGAGAAATAATTGGAGCAAAACCAGATTTTCCTACATCCAAAGGGCTACAGCAAAAAATAGGGTGATCTGCCCTTGCTAACATTTTATTAAACTAAATAAGAAAAGATATTGGGCAGCCAGTCATTAATTGAATCTTATCTATAGAGGAAACTCACATATATACTACATATATGTCAGCTGTGCTTCTCCATTAAAATTTGTATTGGTTACACATGTACTGATTGAAGTTTAGTCAGCTGGAGGCCATTAGCATTGAGTTTCTCAAAAAAGTTCCAGAGCAACTTTGGTGAACACATTTGTGTTAATAACTTCTGAGTAGCATAATCTACCTGACTGGGATGCACCTTATGCAAAGGAGTAGTACAAAAGACAAGGATCTCTGTTTTTTCTCAGTCTCTCATAGACAATAGAGGGTAACTGTGCTGGTGTTTTCTTCCAGAACTGTTACAGGTATTTGTTATCTTATGTTAACTTTTGGCCATTCCAGTTTATTCCTGTTTGCGGTTGGAATGTTTAATTTTCCACTCTGTAAGGCTACTCAGTTTTAGAGTGACTTTCTTCTGGCCATCTGCTGTCTTCTATTTCCTGATGGTCATTTGCTCCTTTGCTTTTCCACTGACAGCTACTTTGTACTTTTAAACAGTGGTTAAACTTGTCACTATTAGCAGCTCCCCATTCCCAGCTTCACAGAAACACTAGGAAATCGATAAGAAATGTCCAATGTGTGAACAGAAAAGTAGCTGTGATTGTCTCTACCTCTTCCTTTGTGTTATACAGTTTGAAGCTGTTTTTTCACAGTTCCAGCTTAGCTGGCTCCTACTTAGCCAGAGCAGAAGCTTAGCTCCTGACTTAGCATCTTGACTAGAAGGTAGATTTAGAAGTTATTCTTAGTTGTTTAGGAGATTATGATTTAATTTTCTACAGGTCTTCTGATGTGCTTGAAGTTTTGTTTGAAATTTTTCTTTCACTAAATTTTTCTGTGTGCATTCAGAGTGAGAGACAGAAAATATCATCATCATTGCACAAATAGGGATTTGTGGTAAAACAGCAGCCTGCACAGTATCTCTGTTTAGCAGAAGTGATAATGGCATCATTAAGATGTTTTACAAGGCCTGTCCTCTGTCCTTTTTTTGAATATAGAAGAGAGGGCATTGTGAAGTTTGCTTTTGGTTTTGGATTTGCTTGCTTGATTAGGCTTAGCCTAATTACCTCTTTCCCTGCCTCCTTCCTCCAGTGCCCTGCTGGAGGAAATGATCCTTCAGCAGGAGCAGTTTTTATTCTTCAGATTGGATAGCTCCTGTTCATCAGTCAATCATGAAAAGGTTTAGCTGGGGCAGCAGAATTTATGCAATTTAAGGATGCTCAGCACTGCCCTATTTATCATGGCTGTGTGTTTGCGTTGTGCTGCTCTCATGACAGTGCCAAACTGCCTAGATCTTGAACAGTTTGCTTTTATTTGTGTAGCTTAAAACATAAGCGGAAAACTTAATAATTCTTTGATAAAACTTGAAAACTTCTGATAATTGTTTATGAATGCACAACTGTTATTCCTGTCACCAACTGCAAGTGACTCAGTAGGATTTTTAGCAGCTTCACAAGCATCCAACTAAGGACATTGCAGCAAAGGGGAAAGACCAAAACCAGAAATATAGTGTGTGGCTCTTCATCATGGCTAGAGGGGGCCAAAGGGTGAGGAAAATCAGAGCCAAATAAATGATTAGAGACAAGTTTTCTTCTGGAATATGATGCTGAGATGCAACTTTGCTGAACTATTTTTAGAATAAAGTAAAACTCAATATGTGTAGAGATGAGTTATGAGAAACAAGAAGTAAATAGAAATGAAGACTTATGAATTTCAGATAATACAAATTATTTTGTATGAGAAAACTTTTTTCTTCCTCAGTGAAAGATTTCTTCAGCCATTGAGAATTTGATCTTCTGATCCTCCTGAAAGGCTAAATACGTGTTTTCCATTGTCTTCAGCATAGCTTATCTCTCTGTTCTTTAGCTGCTACACATAGGACGTGACTGAAGGTGCTAAATTGCTGGCACGGTGAGGTGCCTGTGCCAAAATGTAATTTGTAGGGCACAGTGTTTCTGTGAAAAGTAATTCTTATTCATTTGCTTTCCTGGTTAGCTAGGGCTTTGAGATGAAAATATATTATACAAAGTGTGATACTATCAATTTTTGGGAAGAAACAAAGTGGATTGATTTAAGTGGTTCTTCTACCTGA